TGTTGTTTTTAATTCAGTGGAAAACTCATTTTCTTCAACTCTAACCATCCAGAGGGCTCTTCTGGTTGGAAGCATACCTGGACAAAAATATTTTGCTCTTGATTAGAATTAAGTAGAGACAAATAGTTTTGGTTTTTTTCCCATCCCTTCTCCTATTTCATACTGTAACACTACAATAACAAGGAGCACAAGGCAAGGTGCTTTACTAATAACTGGATAAGGCTGGAAAATTAAGTTGTTTAAATGCTTTTCTAGAAAATGCACCCTTTTCAAGTAATCTGCGGTGCCACCACAAACATAAAATTACCACCCACACTTTGGTATGGTGCAAATGCACTTTGCCAGTTTGTTTTATACTGGCAATCTCAATTTAAAGGAATGAACCTCAGTACAGTTGGCCACTTTGGTTTTGTTACATATTGAGAAAACAGCAGGGACAATCAATCCTTCCTCTGTTAAAGTACCCTGTGGCAAAAATATTATGGTTTCTGTCATTAATTAATGAAATGCAGAGAATTTAAGAGACAGAATTTTCAACAAGTCTACAGTGCTTTCAATTAGGCAATAAATAACCTCGCCTTTGGAGTATGTATCAGTCCCACGGCATTCACTGCCACAAGAAGAGTATCTCTTTCTGAAACACAGTGAGTATAAAGTGGTGTTTCACAAATAAACAGTTATGTTGCTTCATTTTATTGGCATATACAATATGGTACATATCTGAAAGAGCTCCATTATTTTTCAGGAGCACTACACTACTTCGATTAAGACATTAAGAGTGCTGAAGTGAGAGAACACTTGCAAATAATAACTGCTGGGTTCCTTCCCCCTATTCTACCCCTCTCTCCCAAGTCTGAGGAGATGTCCTTCTTTCTAGTTTGTGATTGTTTTATCATGTCATTCCTGGCCATCATGTATGTCACCAGAAGTAGATGCCAAAAGCAGATTCATTGTTACAGATCTCCGAGATGTCAAACCAAAAGTCTTTATACTTTAAACAAAGTCTGCATCTGGAGCTGCATCTGAGCAAAGCTGGTTTAAAGTCTATAAAATCCTACATCCTATGTCTATAAAATCAGGATCAAAAGGAGCTTTGGGAAGGGGGTGGTTAGGTCTTCACCAACAAAGAAAGACCAAAGAACTACACGTGTCTGGGAACTGCGATACGTTTAAATCCTATGCTGGAATATGATGCAAATAGTATCTTCAACTACTTGTATCTCCATCACAGGAATTCAGTCACATCTGTTTAATTCAGTCTTTTTGGTCTTTAAAAGGATGTTTTACAAAGGTTCAATCGGTTGCTCTAGGTGGAAATGGATGCCTAAGTATCACAGGGGCAGATCTTAAACATTGATTACAATGCACAAGAAATGTGCATCCTCAGTTGTCTGCCTAAGGAAGAAGGTATTTTTCTGTGTCTGTTAAACAAATATCCTAGTGGGAACTTTTAGAAAAATCCCTGTGGCAGGCACAGTTATATGGGCTATGCTATCCCAAAGAAGTAAGTTATTTTCACACTTAGTGTAACTTGAGTTACTTACACTTAGTGTAACAACATAAACATTGGAAATTAAGGGTTGCAGTTTTCACACGGAACATTAATCTCATCTCCCTTTGTCAACTAGGCTCCTTTTCCCACAAAAGGTTGGACCAGATGATCTTCCAAGGTCCCTTCCAACCTGGGCTGTTCTATGAACCTGAGAGAATAGAAGGCAATTATCTAACCTAACCTCATGACTGACCTTTTCAGCAGTGACATTAAATGTTCACAGTAATACCACTGAGACTCACAGCAAACCAGAAACTGAAGGGCAGTGTAAACAGCAAATGCAGTATGTTGAAGAAAAGACCACTCTGTAGCGAGCCAGCTGTGTTGTGGGTTTGTCTGGGGTTTTTTTTCTGGTTCTTGGTTTTTGTTTTAAACAGAAGAATTTCCAAGATCTTGACAAGGTTGGTTACTGATTTACTATGAAAACAAGACTGGACAATTATTCCCCAGACCAAATAAAGGTTTAGCATCTGGAGCATGAACAAGAGCTACTTACTGGTTTGGGATTGACTTCAGTAGAGATGAGTTTTAAAAGGCAGTTTAAGAGTCTCTGCTTGTGAAAGGTGGTACATGCAGGAACAGCACTTGACTCAGGTGTTTGCTCCCTTGCATCCTGGGTTTCTGGCTCCAAGACAGCCAACCAGTCATATTCCAGCTGCAGCTTGTTCGGTTTGCCCATCATGAGGTAGACTTCCGCCAGCGTAAGGCTCTCAGAAGTTCGCAGACTCCATCCTTCTTCTCTAACCTGTTGAGAGAGCCGGCTTGGGTCATCTTTAAGAGACTTTGCACTAGATTGTCCCTGAGGTGGAGGTGGAAATGAGGAGCCCAGCTTCTCTTGAGAATCCTCCATTACTGTGTCTGTTATATCCTTGGTACAAGCATCAAGCAGCTGGCCCTGACTGTGGCCAGCCTGAGTGTCATATCTGGATGTGCCACTGCTGGGTGAAGCCACACCACCTCTTGGTAGCTGTGAATACGAGTCAGATGTGTCTGTGCTCCTCCCACTTGGAAAAGTCACAGGAGAAGTATCACCAGCTGCTGGAGTAGAGTCCTTCCCATGCACTTTGTCTGTGCAAAAACATTTCTCTGGGACGATCAGGTCCTGACAGGACTTCATGTACCGTGGGAATGGATCAAGCAGAGAGAGCTCCTCCACATCAGGGATCTTACCGCAAGCACAAGCGGTGCTGCACGTTGGTAGCACAGCTGCTTGCTCACTAGCCAAAGCCTCTCTGCCCTCCACACAAAAGGCCACTGAGCTCAGGTTTTCACAGTTCCCTCCTGGATCTTGAAGTCCAGAAGGTGGTTTCTGGAGAGAATTAGTGATGCCAAGATTTGAGGGTGTTCCTTCCACCAGGCCAGACTCTGGGGTACCATCTTCAGTGCTTGCAGAAACCTCAGCTGTGGACTGAGAGGTTCTGCTTGACTCTGTAGTGCTCTCTGTCCTTCCAACACCCTTAACTTCTGTTCCCCGCGTGTATTTTAGCTGTCCCCTAGCTGTCCCCTGACCGCTCTGTATGCCTAGGATTTGTGCAGGGGGTATTAAGTGAGAGTCTTTTGTGTTCTGTTTGCATTTGCCAGTTTCCTGCCAATGCACCGTGCAGAAAGCCTTGGAGTGGACCACCCTGGCTACCCCAGGCAGTGGAGTGAGTGTACAGTTCTCTCCTGGAAAGAGATGGAGCATCACTTTCTCCTCTGAGAAGCTGCCTCTCATTTCCGAGTCTCTGGAGTCTTGAAGCTGCCGTTCTTCTAGTGTTTTACGCTAAAAAAAGATGTGTCAAAGAATATAACAATCATCTGACCCTTCCAAACAAGCACCTAGTAGTCTATTTTGCAAGTTAAAAAAAAAAAAAAAGCAGCTGATCAAGGACATGTTCTTTATTTGGCATAGATATGAAGACTCTTATGATCAGAAATTAAGTCCTTTTGTGGTGGTAAGACTACACTGAAGGCCTGCTACAAGAACAAATTAGATCTCAGTTCCAGACAAAGTTACTTCTCTCTGCTTCACACACCACTGTAATTGTAAAAATCCCAACCAACAAACCCCAACAACACCAAGAAAAAACCCCAACGTCACTGCACAGCAAAACAGACTCCCCTTCCTGTGCAGTAACCTCCACCTTGCATGTTCTGACATCCTTCTAAGGTTTAAGTGCTATGCTGCTCCTTCTTCTAGGCTCACAGATTAAAAAGAAAAGCCTGAAATAAAGGACTAAGAACAGCATACCAGGTCAATGGGAGAACAGAATGGCTGTTAACTCACAAATCCTCTCCAGGGATCAAAGTTCAGAAGTAGGGATATCTCTAATGTTGTCTGGCTCAGAGAGCACATGTAGCATAACAGGTAGCAGCAGCTACACAGACAAGGAGCTTAAGAATTCATTTGATGAAACTGCATGAAGCAAGTGGAAAGAGCTGTCCTGTCCTTAATCTCGCTGCTGAAACTGAAAAGAAGATTCTAAGTTATCCAGGCTCCTGTGGCGGTCACCCATCTATAATGAAACAGACTAAACTCACTGTTTAAGGAAATTAAATAAAAGGCAGGGAGCTTCATTTGTTACTAACTAGCTTTTCAGGGCATCATAGTAGAGACTACTTAAGGCAAAAGTGTAATACTATGGCATTTCCCATGAAAGGTTTCATTAGGGACGCTGAGATACTGATGTCTGTCTTCACTAAGCACAGGCGTGTAGATTTGTGAAGTAGAATCACATTTCTGATCAAAAAACGACCACAGAACGGTAAGGGAATTGCTTCCAGGACACAGCATACAGAACAGACTAAGCAGAAAAAGGATACAATACGGACTTCGTGGAGAGCCCACTTCTGCTTCAGGAACTCAATGAGGCTAGAGACCTTCCGATGTAACTCCACAATCATTCTGTATGCAAGATAAACAAAGCAAGGGAACAGAAAAAATGTCAGAAGTTCAAATCACAGTCTCGATACTAGAATGGGAATTAAGGGAAGAAACTGGCATTTCTTCCAAGCATAGAGCGAGAATGCAGCTACCACTCCCAAGCTCTAAGGAAAAAAACCCAAGAAAAACAAAAACGTATTAGCCCACACTTCAAAATCTTGATGATTCACAACTGAGAAAGATCTAAAAGTTTATCAGATAAATCTGATAGCCATGATTGAAGATACCAGTTCCTCCAGATGGAAGATAGGAAAAGATGGCAAGATTTAGTTAAACTGAAAAAGTGTAGGCAAGGCCCAAAGCTACAACATGAAGTACAGAAAGAAAAAAGGACACCATTACCACCTCCATTTACTTTTTGCCTTCAGAGCATTCGAAAAAATAAGCCTAATGCTAAAAATTTTCATTCTCCTGTCTGCATGATCTTCGGTCATTACACTGAAGTACTCTGAAAGAACAATCAGCATCACAGAGACCTTGTGATCTCTACCAGTGTTTTGGACTAGATGTAAGTGCTCAAGCTGCCATTTTTGGACACAAACAGCAGCACCAACAACATTTTGCAGGGAGGAGGTTAAACTACAAATACCTTCATTTCTGCTAGTACCACTGTGTTGCAGTTGACATGTTCAAAATCTTGGTGCAGGTGCCTCTGACTGTTTTACTTCCCTCCCCTGTGTCTCTGGCTCATAGTACATTCAATACAAATTTTAGTAAAGCTAGTGCTGCACTGTCCTGGTCCCAGGCAGCGATGAGCTGCTCTCCTGAGGCAGGCTGTAAGATTTTGTTTCATTCCATAATACATCAAGCTTAGTGGTCACTGTTACCCCCTGTACTGGCAGTGCCGGAGGCTTGCAGAGGCCAGACCCAAAAGTTGGGGGTGGGGTGGGGTGTCACTCCGGAGGTTCTTGCCAGGAGATGCCAGTGATACTAGATGGAGTAAGTGGGTTGCCCTGATCACACAATGATCACATACAGGGAATCCCAGTCACCCAGGAATCTTGGAAGTGATCACGGACTGGCCAGAAGGCAAAGACTTTGAAATGTCACCAGAGGAGGAGGTGATATGTGCAAAAGAGGCCCCTTTGTACAATTAACTGCCAGAGAAGCAGTATGCCCGTTTATTGACGGGTCTGGCCACATGTCATGTGGAATGCTGTTCCACATCGGGGTTGGAAAGCTGCTGTGTGGAGTCCCACCCGACAGCTGCAGAGACTGCTGAAGGCCAAGGTAAATCCAGTCGGTTTGCCCAGGTAAAGGCCATCCAGTTGGCTTTGGACGTTGCTGAACAAGAGAAATGGGAAGTGCTTTAACCTCTACACTGGCTCGTGGATGGTGGCAAATGCCCTGGAGGGATAGCTACAGCAGTGGAAACAGAGAAACCGGCACTACAGAGGCAAACCCATCTGGGCTGCTGCATTATGGCCAGATGGTGCTGCCCGGCTAGACAACCTGGTCGTCAGAGTGTGCCATGTCGATGCCACGGGGTGCCAGGTGCATATCCTGTACCCCATGCCACTGCCCAAAATACCATCTTGGGCCTTGAAAGGCAAGTCCTGTGGCAACACAGCACCCCAGAAAGGATTGAATCAGACAACAGGACTCATTCCCACAACAGCCTCCTAGACACTTGGGCTGAAGAACATGGCATTGAGTGGGGGTACCACATCCCCTACCATGCACCAGTCCTGGGGATTGTCACACGGTGCAATGGGCTGTTAAAGACCACCCTGAGAGCAATGGGGGGGTGGGACACTCAGGAAATGGGATACCAACTTGGCAAAGGCCACTTGACTAGTTAATACCAGGGGATTAATGCCAGCCAATCCTGCTGGCCCTGCCCAATCAAAACTCTTACAGACTGTAGGAGGAAATATTAATGCATATTAAATATGCTGGGAACAACAGTCTGGGTTACTCCCGTCTCGGGCAAAGGCAAACCCACCCGTGGGGTTGCTTTCGCTCAAGGACCTGGGCACAGTTGGTGGGCAATGAGAGAAGGTGGGAGAGTCCGCTGTGTGCCTCACACAGGGGGGTTTGATTCTGGGAGAAAACAGCCCATCAATTACAGTGCATGAGGGACATGAACTGCTGCCACTAACCCCTGTGCTGAGCTCTGTGTTGCAGCACTCGCTGTGGCAGAGACCACCCCACCCTGCAGAGGTCCTGCCTTGCCAGAAGCGCAGCAGGGACCCGGCCTGAGCTGGCTTCGGTGCCCAACGACCCCGTGCCAACACTCCACCTTTCCTGTCCTGAGTGACCCCACACCTGATGGAACCTGAAGGCAGGGACTAATGGACACTGTGCCAAGATGATCCACAGACTGAGGGAATGATGTCTGTGTGGGATGGGATGGGGGGCAGACTATGGATGGAAGAGTGTGGGACATGAGCCTGATGTAAATGCTATGAAACAAGGGGTAGAGAATGTCCTGGTCCCAGGTACAGATGCGCTGCTCTCCTGGGGCAGTCTATAAGATTTTGTTTAATTCCATAATGCATCAAGCTGAGTAGTCACTGTTACCCCCTGTACCAGCAGTGCTGGGAGCGAGCCCAGGGGGAAGTTTGCAGAGGCCTGACCTGGAAGTTGGGGGAGGGGGAGTCACCCTGGAGGTTCCGGCCAGTAGCGCATTGTCCCCCGCCTTGGCAGCACAGTCTTTGTCCGGACCTTGTGTCAGGTGATTAGCAGACAGTCAGCATATTTTGTCAGGCAGATTGCTCTGGGAAGGGGCACTTGAAGGTTTTCTTTCCCCCTGCTCTGGGTTCCTGGGCTCAGGGAGGGGGCTTTGGATTTATTTTTGCTTGTTGTCCTGGAACCTGGCTGTGTCCACCGACAGATGGTAAGATCCTCTATCATTTGTTCTATTTTCCTGCTCTTTTAATTACCTATTAGCAATAGCATTGTTAGTAACTCCCTAAATTTCATTTATATAATTAAGTAGTTCTTATCTGAACTTTTTATGAGCCTCCCTTGTTTTTTCCTCTGACCCTTCCTCACTGGGAGGGAGGGGAGAGTGGCAGAGCGATTGGTGGTGCTGAATTGCTCGACAGGGCTAAACCACAACATGCGTATCTCCATTTTCCATGCAGTCTGCGCTGACAACTAGGCCTACATGGCAGGAAGTATATTCATCTTCAACTCTGGTAGCTCCTATCATTACTCACATTAAAAGCATAAAGAACAATAGTAATCTAATATTCAGGTCTGGTATATCATGTTTACAACAATCATGTACTCTGGTTGGGTAAAGCCTTCAGAGTAAGCACATTTAGGCACATTGCATTGTCAAAGATGAACTGCCCAGTTGTCAAAAGAGAACTCCGAAGAGAGAAAGGTGCAAGAACGCTGCTCATATATTTCCCTGTTCTATTCTGAGCACCAGAACCAGTATTTCATTACCTAAGTCGTGGATTCTGGGCAAGACTCTGCACTCGAGCCCATGCGTGATTATTCCGTGGCTGCAGCTCCACAGGAACCTTGAGAGGAAGACGTACTGGCTTCTGATCCTCTTCATCACTAATGCCTGAAGGGAGATGAAGGACAAAGTGTCAAAGCCAGGACAACTCAGAACACTATATGCTGGTTACATGAAAAAAATCTGACATCAGCATCACCTACAGGCAACTTAGGAAGCTCAGCTTCACCAGTGGAGCCTGCTTCCTTAAACATATGGGAACAGGAGGTAGTCCTTCACCAGTGGAGCCTGCTTCCTTAGATTACCTCCTGTTCCCATATGTTTATTTTTTTCCTTGGACACTGCAGTGGTACTGAAGCTTCCAGTTGAGCAAGCAGTGTCAAAATCAGGTAGCTGGAAACTCTGAACAAGAACAGTATTTCAGATCTTTAAACTGCACTCATTCAAAATACTACTGGTTATTCACTGGCACAAGGGACTAAACTTCACATACAGTGAAAGCACAACTGGTAAAGCAGTAGCGATCTTGTTCGTGTAACTGTGTCCTTTTTCATTTAGCTAGTGACATATTCCAAGACTCAGAGAGCTGGGTGGGTCTTAAACTTATTAGGATTATTCAAGCAAACAGGATAAGTAATACAATAGGGACATATCTGTGCCCAATACAAATGTGAAATAGTACAAATTCCCCTGCCAGTGATGTACACATCAAAGCAGACCTACTCTCTCTCATATTCTCCCTACCATCTGTTAAAGCCCTTTCAAATTCCAGCATCTCTTACTTACCATCTGGATCACACAGTTTCTTCAAAGCCCTGCACATTGGAGCTTTGATACGAAGGTTTCTGCCTTTGTACCGAACAGTTGTAGCCCTGAATACATTGAAAGAGAAGTATTTACAAGAATCATTAACAAAAGTTTGCGAGTACATGCATATATGGGACACAGAGTCAAATACAATCATGAATATAGGAATGAACAAAGAAATGTAAGGGTTTTCAGTGCAAATTCACAAGAGCATTGAATCTTTTCTACGTTATAGAAATGCTACTCTTGTGACCCTCCTCTTCCAGACTTTCATGAAACACTGGGCTGTCCTCTTAGGAAGGGACTGCTATTTTATGAAGCAGAACAGAACTCTGTTACTTTGGCTGAAGAGTACCCTCAGAGACAGTTTATTCTTGAAAGACAAGTGCTTTTGCTTTAGTGTCTTCTTTATTCTCTAAGTCTTCATTAAGGGAAGAAAATGTCTGAAGTTTCTGAAATCTTCCATTCTAGAATATCAACACCACATCTGTTGCAGAAATGAGGTCTAACAGCTTGTGCAGGAATCTGAACAAAGTAACTGTTACAGCATGGTTTCACTGGCTTTTAGCTTCAATACCACATTAACAGCTATGAAGATCCCTTATAAGATCCTTACATGGCAAGAGGCCGTTTTTGTTTTCACACAGTGCAACTGTGTGATTTCTCCACTCCGTCAGCCCTGTTTTCTTTTTCTAAAAGCTTCAGAGGCAGGCATCAAGACCAATGAAGTTACTTATGGCAGTGTTTACTACCTAATACTTAAGGCAGTAAGGATCAACCAGCATAGATCCAGCAGGCTTGAACACAAGTCCTTGCAAGTAAAATGAAAGAAATTAAAAAGAATATTGCTACAGCAGGATCTTATTTTCTCCTATTCTACAGGGAAGACAACATGAGGTGGAAGGAGCACTTGTCTACACTACTAAGAGGGAAATCCGCAAAAGGGCAGCGGACATGAAGCCAGACCTGTGAAGATGGAGTTAATGAGGTGAGCAGGTCAGAAGTTTCAGTCACTAGGATGTGAGCTTCAACAGATTCAGAATGTCCCAGGGCTGGAAAGTCAATTTCCTCAACCTGCACTGAGCTACCAGAAGGTACTCTTTCTAACACAGAGGTAGTGAGGCTCAGCTCATGAAAAGAGAAGGCTCTGAAGTTCTGTGGAGAAACTAGCAATAGCACTACTTCAGAAAAAATAAAGAAGACCCAAGAGCTACTTGCCTGGATCTAAACAGTGCTTCCTATTTCCTCATCTGCACAGCTGCCTAACAGAAGCATTGTTGTTACCTCTCCTCGTTCCATTTAGGACTAACTTGAGTTGTTTGAAGATGTGGGTCCCACCAAGTGCAACCATCAACCTCGGCCAGTGGAAAGACTCTTAGATGAGGACACAGTAACAGTGGCGGATATCTAGTCCACGACACAAGGTAATGATAAAGTAAAACTTCCTCTTGCCACTGCAATGGACACTTAGCCTTAATGCATGAGGCTCAATACTCTTGTCATTAGATTAAAGTGCATGATTATAACAAGAAAACCAGCATGCTTTAGAAGTTAAACCTCCTGAAAATAAGCTTAACATATACAGCTAACACCCTTTTTTTTTTTTAATGTGTAAATAAACCAGGTTTCAATATAAGTGAGAACAACTTCACTGTGAATCAAACCAAGCTCACTTATGTCAAGTTAATGGGGACTGAAATGTATAAATACAGGAAACATGACTACAAATTCTGCTGCTCTCGAATTCAGCTGGTCGGTGTTTTGTCAACTTCTCTCTTGGGTCTCAATCTTTAGGTGAAGAATCTCCACTTTTCTTCAGGAGCCCAAACTTTGGTCTCAGCCAGCAGTCAGAAGTGGCAGCCTAGTATAAACGTGCCTGGCACAAAAACTGAGGGATTTGGTAGAACCTAGAGGATTTAGGTAAATAAAAACTCTAGATACATGTTACATTTCTTTGTACAGTGCTTATTATTATTTCCTCCAAGAACAGTAACTGAAACAACAGCTGAGGACCGGAAGTCTTCAACTTTTACCACACCTCCTAGAAATGTCTCTTCCAGTTTTACACTCAAGTAACACGTGATTCACAACCACCACCCTTTGCTTTTATCTGCAGGGATTCAGTGAAAGCTGCATTTATGCTATTACCACTAATGCTGTTCATCACATGTAATTTTATAAAGCTCATGTTGGATGATGATGATAGGATGATAGCACACCCAACTGCTAGAAAATGTGGTCTGGGAATGCGATAGTATGTTTGTACAGAAAACAATGCCACTGCATGAACATGCCAAAATTGTCTTCCTTGTTCTTGCAAGGAGTTAATTACAGCATTACAGCAATCACAACAACAGTTGTAATGATTTCCTTAGTTAGTGAAGACAAGCCTAGATGTTCCCTCCTGTTCTAGTGGAAAACACAATTTCACAATAGCCCCGTAGAAAAATCCACTAAAGCCAGTAAAGAGAAATCCCACAATTCAATGCACCTTGAAACAGGTTGCTAACTGCAAACTTACACTACTTTCATAGAGCAAATTCTTTTGACTACTTGTCAACTTGACTGAGACTCTCCTCCTCCCTGCATCTTGATTTCAGACAATGCAACACCTTTTTATCAAATGTGCCCTTGAAGTAGCTGCATGCAAGTGAAGAGTCAAGAAACAGCATTATTATTGTAACTTCGACAGTTTAAGGGTGTAAGTGAGATGATG